TAAAGACTGTTTCACTCCGATTCATCTTCACAATAGTTTAATAAAGAGGAATTGACTTTTAAAAATTTGAAATAGAAAAAAAAATTGAAAAATTCAAAGAAAACTCGAAAAAAGGTCTTTCAAAAGAGGACAATACGAAAGTTTAATGGGCGATCAAAATGTGTCTTCACCATAATCGATCCCTTGCTTCTCGATGAACCTTGTTCGGCGATTTTTGGCTCATAAAAATCGGCTGACGAGTCAAAATCTGAGCCAGCCTGAGACATTGCAACGTTTGCAAATGCAGCTGATCCAACACTTTGAATATCGCTGCAACTTCACAAACTTCAACAACAACGTAACCAGTGAATTCATTGAACTTGAACAAACAGTTTAGGTCATTATAAGAGGTTAATCATGTTGATCAAAAATACTTATTATCATAATGAGTCTATTCCATTTGAGAGAAGTTGATTCACTATTATTATTCTCTTTCATGTTCTGCACAATAAGAACAGTGATAACGATGAGAATTTTCAAAAAGTTTTGAGAACACTCAACAAACGAAGAAGCCTACCTAGCTTGTTGTTGTGGTACTGGAGTGGCAGTTTGCAAGCCACCTTCAGGAGGAGGCGTTGGGGATGGAGGAGCTAAAATATATTGGAGTTATTCGATATTGCCAACATTCAAGACCACCAATTCGTGTCAAATGACCCATTTCACCCCGGAATCAAAAAGTGTCAACAGAAATGTAGTAAAAATCGTCATATGAATCACTTGAAAGCGGAATTCAAATGAATTATGACCATCTGAGAAGCTTTGACCATTCATAATTTCGATCAAAGACACTGAGAATCCCTGCGAAATCAACTCATAAACCATAAGAGCAATCACGCTTCATGAATTCAAAATTGAGAGCATTTTCATTTGAAGGAGTGATTCCAGCTCTTATTCAGACTTGCAATTGCTCTGTTTTAGCAATGAGCTAACTCCAAATGCAAAGACTATAGCACTGACCCAGCTCATTTTCAGAAGTGTGGGTTTGCGACATCGGCGATGGTGGTTGCTGGTCCACGTCATGATGCACATGCACACCGAATATATCGTATTCGCGAGAACGATTCCGATATGAAGGAATTTCGGTGGAGTGTTGCGCTTGGAAACGTGATGTTGCACTAAAAATTATACACACTCATCATGACAATCGGACGATCGCTAAACCGGTCAAAAGTTATCCATCGCTTTCCGTAAGAAGAAAATCGACAGTCACCTTTCAGGCATCGGTAGTGCGGCCTGTTCGCTTTCTTCTTCATCTCTTCCACTGATCATCAAGAAGTAGCCAAAACTGTAGATAGTGCAAGCGATCAAATACAATGCTATTCCCAGCTTATAGCCACCACGAATGATCAGTTTTGCCGCTTCGAACATCAACTGCGCCCATGTCATTGCTCTGAAAGGCAATTTCGTTGTGCAATCGCTAAAGCCAGTTCACGGGAATCATATCTAGCCCAAAATCAGGAATGAGTTATTTCTTCTTCTCTGCTTACTCTACGATTTTATCAATTGATCAAAAGGATGACTCATCATCTGACTAAGGAGAATTGAGTTCACGTTTTGTAAGGTTTTCAAAAATTAGCTGTATGCGTCCCACTCTCGTTATTTATAATCACTAATTGCGCTTGAATGTGTTTAGAGACGAATAGGAATATGTACAATAGTCAAAGATGTTCTCTCAGTGCAAGATTGTTCCACGCACAGTGCAGTAGAGAACAACAAGAAAACGCAAGATTCGTACCTGATTTTTGCGGCAGCACTTTGCAGAGATTTACTCACGTTTGATGGTTTCAATGCACTTGCTGCCGACACACCATAGTTGTAACCAGTTTTGATGGTGCGTGAGAGTTGTCTGAAGTTGGACACGTGATGCATGATGGGTGCATGGATAGAAGTGCATCATTTCAGTGATAAGAAATTTGAGAAAAATACTAACTAATACTTACTCGCTTGGTGAAGTTTGCTGTAAGAAGTAATCTCTTTGTTTCATCGCTCGCTCAACTTTCGAATCAGCCGCATCCCCAGAACTTATCTCAGCTGCGTGTTGCATCTGAAATCATCAACGAAATACGCACAGAACTGTTCGTTCACTGGATCGTAAACGCAATGAAGAGAAATTTCTTTGAGCAACTGAAATTTTGCTTAAGCACTCGGTTCCTTTCGAACATTACTCACCTCAAAGATTGTATCCTCACAGAAATTTATGAAAGCCTCCAGTTTGCCCTGATCACCGCCATCATCTTGTAGCACGTTGAACAAGAAGGAATTCTTTGAATCTCTGAATTGTTCGGAAGGGATCATTTCAAAATTCAAAACATTAACTGACAGATTTCAATATGATACATAANAAAATTCTCATCAAGAATGCAAATCATTCAGTCACAAATTCGGTTTATTGTATGACGCTATATTGACATACCTAATCTGTTGTTTGCCCCATTGCTCCAACCATGACTCCTGTATTTCGAAGTAAATCTTCTCAACTCGTTTACTCGAGCCCATTATCTCGATTCGTCCCAAATATGGATCAAAATAGTCAAGCAGTGTGCTCGCTTTTTCGATGATTTTCTCCAGACGAGGATCATTGGTGATATGTTCTTTGAGATTGATTAACAGCACAGCAAGATTGAAACCTAAACGATTTCACAAAATATTATCAACAAAACTCTGATTGTTCGTTCTGTTACTAATGCTGAGGATTTAGCAGAAACTTTTCGAATATTACTTTACCTGGATATCGAATACTCAACCTGTAATCTACCTTCACTTTTCATCATCTAAATTTCTTGAAGCATACTTGACCTCCAATGTAATAGAGTGAAGGAAGGGAAGCAGATTTTGGCTTATAAAATTTTAAACTTCATTCTTAATATTTTTGATCAATCGATCGATCGCTGTCTTTTCTCCATTTGACAACATTTAAAAACAGCGAACGACCGATCATTTCTTGAAGTATTGTATGTTGGGGTTTGTGTTAATCGTTGGTGAAAAACGCCCATTCAAGCTTGATATTGCTATCGGACTGATTTAAAATGATTGCATTTTTCAACTGTCAGCACTCAGAAACTGTTGTTGAGATGGCTAGTTGAAATCCATTTGATATGTGAATTTTTCGAAGTTCTCACCAATATCTCTGGCTGGATTATGGAATCGTTCAGTGAATTCCATATAATCTACTTTGCCATCGTTGTTCACGTCTGTGCACATCATCAGATACGTAATCTCTTCACTGAAA